GGCCCGCAGGGGCCCTGGAGGAGCCGCTTTCTGGTCACGGTCCTTTCCGTTAGGTATTTGTGGCCATACTTGATCTTCCAGGTGGCCCGGGCAGCCGCCTCCTTCTGGAGGCGCTCCTGCCAGCAGGCCTGGCCCTGGGAGGTGAACATGGCAGCAGGGGGCAGGGGTGGGGAGGGCAGGATTCTTCCTGCAGCCACAGCCTGTGTTTGGGTTGCTGGTGTCTGTCTCCAAGGATACGCACAGCCAATGAGAGCCAGGTTGCCAAGGCCCTGCTGGAGAGGAGGGGCTGGGCCGCCCAGGGGACAAGGCCACCCACAGGCAGAAGGATGACCGAGCCAGGCCATAGCCTGGCAGTGGTGACAGGTAGGGGACCCTGTGCTTTCCCAGAGGGACTCAGGGACCAGGACTTTACCTGCACACCCTGAAGATCTCACAAAACCCCAGTGTACACCTACTATGTGTCAGCCACCCAAGAGGGTTCAAAGAGAGGCCTGGTATTCACCCAGAAAGCTCCGGACACGTGGCTGAGATCTTGCTGCAGAGGCTCGAGCCCCTCACACACTCAGCTCTGCCCCTCCTGTGCACGACGGGATGACAGTGGGAACCAGCTTTCAGAAAGGGGGACGGGATGAGACCAGGGCGTGAAACCTTGTGACAGTGGAGCGAGGTTCTTGGGACACGTCAGCTGCATTTAGCAGGCGCCTATTAGGTGCCACTGTGGTCTGTGCTCTGTGCCTTCCGCCACCACCTCGGCTATCAGGGCCCTCGCGGCCTCCTTTCTGGCAGGGAAATGGAGGCTCAGAGAAGTGACATCCTGTCCCAGGACATGGCATTGCTGCGTGGTGGTGTGTACCTGTTCTGTGCCGGGTCCTGAACCAGGGGCTCGACTGCCTTCTCACTGAATCCTCAGAGCGGTTTGCAAACACTCTCTGAGGTCAGTTTTCCAGATGAGGAAACCCAAGCTCAGCAATGCTAAGCGGGAGCGCTGTGTGGTTTGCAGAGCCCACGACCCGTGTTACAACCACAGCACCCTGCCGGGGAGTGTGCCAAGCACATGGGGGGCCTGAGGGGGAGGGCAGAGGAGGCCCCACCTGGGGCCCCAGCATTACCATAACGTCACACCCTCTGCCACTCTGACCCAGGTCCTCCAGGACTGAGAGCCAGTGAGGAGGCTGCCCATGATGCCCTGGGGTCCACTCTCACGGAGGTGGCTTGGTTATGAAAGTGGGTTTTCTCTGTTTTGAGCTCTACTTCCACCTCCCGCCCTTCTGCCATGGGATAACCCTCACCCACGGCTGACTGCACTCTGGGACGTCCCGGACTCCAGAACCGTGAGCTGAAAAAGCTCCAGTTATCGGGAACCAGCAGTTAGCGTAATGGCTATGTCACTGGCCTCCCACGTAGTCGACCGCGGTTCGTGTCCCGGACCCGGTGGCTTAAAACTCACGCCGGGCGCGTGTGCGTGCGTGCCCAAGATCCCGAGAGGAGAATGGAGGAGAAGGGATTGCGGCGTGACCATCCCCCCTGGGGGGTGATTTCTCGCTTTCTGTCTCTATGTCTCTCTGTCTGTCTGGCGAGCGCACGCGCCCTACAGTGAAAATCTCTCCAAAAAAAAAAAAAAAAAAAAAAAAAGCTCCAGTTATTTCTGAATGACCCAGTCTGCGGTATTCGGTTACAGCAGCACGAAACAGACTAGGACAGACCCCGTTCTGAAAGGCACAGATTGCTATAGGGCGCGTGCACTCGCCAGAAAGACAGAAAGCAAGAAATCACGCCCCAGGGGGGATGGCCACACCACAATCCTCTGTTCTCTCGGGATCTTGGGCACGCATGCACACGCACCTGGCATGAGTTTAAGCCACCGGGTCTTGGACTCAAATCACTGTCGACTACATGGGAGTCCAGCGAGATAGCCATTACACTAACTGCTGGTCCCTCCAGAGGTTCACCTTATCAGAGAATGGAACCCCACTATTTTCCCATTTTACAGGGCAGGGCGCTGAGGCGGTAATGGCCCAAAGCATCTCTCTGGGATTGGAACCTGGACTTGAACCTGTGGCTTCCAATCTGCTGCTGCTCCCACCCGGGTCATTCTGTTGTGAGGGCAGCTGCCTGCAGGTATCTGGCCTTGAGGCGGCTGTTTCAGGACTTGGACGCCCTGCAGAGCTTTCCTCTCCTCTGCCGCCAGAGTTCAGCCTCGGCCTGAGGACGGCGCTTCCTGGGAAGGGAGGGCAGGCCCGGCAGGGGGAAGCAGGGGGAGGCAGGGGGAAGCAGGGGGAGCCTCCGGGTGCCCGGAAGGCGGTGGTCACCGCAGAGGGAAGAATGTGGGCAATAAAAGGCTCACAGATTCTTTCTCCCAGGGAGATAAGCAAATCCAAAATACAGAACCACTGGGCGTGCCACAAATTAGGCTCGTCCATCCCCGTCTCCTGCCTGCTCTTGAGACATTTTGGGGAAGAAAAAGGGCACTCGGGGTATGGGGTGGGTCCCCCTGAATTCCATGCACATGAGCTGGTCCCCGTGGGCTTGGGAGCCCAGACAAAAGCCTTATCACAAAGCAGAGAAGGATCCCTTTGTCTAAAGAGACTCCTCCCAGCATCCTTAGGATGAAGCCAGAGATGCACCGAGTCCTGGCCTGCTCGGAACCCTCGCTCCCTCCAATGCAACATTTTAATTCCCTCTTCCGGCTAGGATTTTCTACTGTGATGAGGAAAAAAAAAAAAAAAAAAAAAAAAAAAAAAAAAAAAAAACCTAAATAAGATGTATTTCTGGGAAGGCATTTCCCTTAGAGCAGTGATCTGATTATAGAGCCTCTCCCCCTCCGAATTCCTGGAGGTGTGGGACGCCAACTTCCCTCCACCCTGGCACTTAAATGAACAATTCTGCTCGTTTTGTTTGAAAGATTTTTGCTCTAGAGTGCGTGTGTTTGCAGGAGAGACAAAGCGAGAAAGCACCCACCAGGGGGTATCACCATGCCACCATCCCTTCTCCTCCACTCTCCTCTCGGGATTTTGAGCACATGTGCCCATGGGAGTTTCAAGCCACCAGGCCCAGGACTCGAACTGTGGTCTACTATGTGGCAGTCCAGTACCTTAACCAGTACGCCATCTGCTGGCCCTGCTCTTCGTTTTAAAATAGAAATTTGGAGGGAGGTGACAAGGATGGATACTCATTTTGCTGTTCACCTTTACTCAAAAAAATCATGTTATTTCACTTTATTTATTTTAATTTGACCAGAGACAAACAGAGAGAGAGAGAGATTAAGAGAGAAAGTGAGAAAGCAAGCCACCAGGCCCAGGATGCACACTGCAGTTGGCCATGTGGGAGTCCAGCACCCTTAACCACCACGCCACCTGCCGGCCCCTAGTCTCCTCATTTTCAAGGCTATGCAATTTTCAAGGGAAATTAAATCCCTCTGGGACTGACTCATCCTATACCAAACTCATCAAAATGTGGCTTTCAAGGCCCCTTTGAAGTCCTGTACCTAGACATGCGCCCTCACATTTAAAACATTGGAAACAAGGGCCTATTAATGACACAGCCTCTCCAGTGAGTGCTTCCTTGGGTTGCAAAGGGAAATTTGGGGCCAGCCAGGTGGTGTGGTGGTTAAGGTGGTTAGATTCTACGAGGCCGACAAGTGCAGTTCAAGTCCCAGACCAGCAACTTGAAAAACACACACCAGGTGTGTGTACGCGTGTGAGCCCAGAATCCCAGGAGAGTGGAGAAGGCACTGTGGCTGGCCTTCCCCCTGGGGAGGGGTGTTTTCTCACTGTCTCTCACTCTGTCTGCCTCTCTGGGGGGGGGGGAGCACACACACCCTACAGCAAACTTTTAAACAAGGGAAGAGGTGGGCCTCTGTGCCACGGGCTCTTCCGGGCTGAGATCTCCGCGGGCGGCTGGCAGCTGCTCTCCGCAGTGCCGGCCTGCCAACTTCAGTAGGAGACGGGCAAAGTCAACCAGAGAAAGTCAGAATGCACTTGGCGCCCGGCCTGTGCTGCGTCAAGTTTCAAAGTTTTCAAGGTGTTTGCACAAACAGCCGGTTTCCATAGCAGCCGAGTCCAGGTGCAGATAAGAGCTGCCCTCTGGTTCTGCCCACCGGCCAGAGGGGAGCTGCGGATTCCCACTCGGGGATGGCTTTGATGTAACAGGTGGCATTTTACAGGGAATTGCACCTCGGGCCCCAGGTGCTGACCAGGGCCTGGTGTGGCCTGTGCAGGAGCAGGAGGGACTCTTCTTACAGCTCCCAGTGGGGTTCATGTGATCCTCACGTGGAGACTTGCTCAGAGAAGTGAGACAAGGTGACCTCCCCAGGGCCTTGGCCGCTGGACTCCTAGTGTTGGGCCTGAGGTTGAAGTCCACTTCCACCCATGACTTAGGAATGCTGCCTTCTCCCAGAGAGCAGAAGGGCTTCAAGAGGGGGAGAAAGCCAGGCTGTGCCCTGCAGTCCTCGGCAGGGGACCCAGCATCATCTGTGGCCTGGCCAGACCCTGCTGTGCAGAGTCTGGGTGGACCCTCCAAAGCCCATGACCCTCTAGGACTGGGAGTCCAGGAAACAGCCCTCTGGGGTTAAGGGTGCTCCATGCCCGAGGGGCAGAGGCCTCGCTCCTCCTCCCCCCTTCCTGCAGGCTGGAGGGCTGGAGTTCCAGCAGGGACTTCCCATCCCTATGGCAACAGGCAGCTTTCTCTGTAGCTTTCCAGTCCTCCTACTGGGCTCTTGCATAAGGGCCATATAACCAGTGGCAGAGCCCACTCTGGGGTCATAAAGGCCGCAATCAGGGCCTGCTCCTGAGAGCCCAAAGCTGCACACATGTCAATGCAGTGGTGCCACCGGGCTGCTGTGAGGCCGGGGAGGAGTGGGTGCTAAGATCCTCCTGAGGATCAGCGGAAGTCCTGCTTAGCAGAAAGGAGACCCAGAAGACGAGAGAAGGGGGAGGAAGACCAACAGTAAATATCCACCCTGCTGGTCTGGGGCAGGTGGTGACAGGACAGAGTGGTCTGAATATACTCCCTAACATGAGGGTGTCCAGCCCTCAGGCTCCTTCTCTGCAGGAGCGAGACCAGACTTGTCAAAACACTTTGCGAATCTGTGTCCTTTCAGCTGGGGGCTGGGAGGGCTGGTCAGAGGCTGAAACCATTCTTTCCGAAATGACACCGTCCAGGCCAGATGGTGACATAGCAGTAGCGCAGCTGGAGCCACATGGAAGAGGTCCTGAGTTCACATCCCGGGACCTCCCTGAAACTCCAGGTGTGTGCAAGTCCTCGAGCCAGGCCGGCAGAGAGCAGATGGATCATGTCATGAAGATCCTGCTTGGGATGCCTGCCGGTCTCTCAAGGAAGGAAAAAGACATATGTCATCTGAGAACACCAGGGGAACTTTCCGGAGCATTTTATTTAATAAGTTATAAGATACAATTTACAGTCGGCATTTGATTCCAGTTTGGCTTTCACGTCCCCGTTTACGGCATTGTGGTCCTTGCACATTGGGCTTCGGGAGGCCCAATGTCTAATAGATGAGCTTTTACTGCCAGTCCTCGGCCAGGCTTCTACTGCTGAAGAGGCACCCACCTGGTCCCCAGCCACACCACTGGCCACTCCCTCAGGACTGAGCAGCAAATCTGCAAGAGCTTCGTGCTTGGGCCATATCGCCTCTGGCCTCCACAGTCAGGCCATGTCCCAGAATGCTTTAACACAGTCCCGCGCCAGCATGGCTCTGCAGGCAGGCCTGCAAAACACCCTACACCTGGCCTTAGAATTCTGCACCTCCAAATTACTTTCCAAACAACCTCAGATGACGTGGTTATGGCCAAATACACAGCCACTGTCAGCTCTGCAGTTGTCACTCTTTCTGCCAAACGGTAAAAAGATTTCCAAGAGCAGCTGCCCTTTCCTGGTCCTTGACAACCCCCCAACTTTGAGACCGAAGGTCAGCAGGTGTTTCATTCTTTCCTGTCTACATTATCATCATCTTCCAGGTAAGGTGACCTCCGAGGCTGCCTGGGGTGGGTGCAGAGCGTCCTGCCCGTGACACGCCTCCGTGATGAGGGCTCTGAGACACGGACCCACCAGGCTGACAAACACTGGAACGTGGAAACGTCAAGGGCTAGTGTTGGCTAAAAGGGCTCTTTGGCAAATGCCACATGGCTTGCCACTGCAGAATATCCTCAGACCAAGGAACTGGAACGGACTTTAAGGACAAAAGCAAAAACGGGACTGCCAAGATGGTCACACGTTACGATTCTGCAAGGAGATCACCATCAGAAAAGGGCAGAGGCACCAAGAAGCCTCGTGGGCCGGCCTGCCCTATGAGACGGTAAGAAGGGGGCTGAGAAAGAGTGGGACTAAAACCTCGGCGGTAACCCCCTAGACTTTTCTATCGAGCAGGGACTAGACGGATGAAGCTGATCTTCCACCACCTTTGTTAAATGACAACCTAAAACTAGGTCTGCTTTTCCGTCTTTCCCTCACCCCCAGTCTTGCTCCATAAACGCTGAAGAGTGAGCCAGGAGCTAAGGCTCATCAATTTCATTTTGTAAAAACATTGGCCCTGCCCGTGGCCCAGGTCTGTCTGCAGTGGGTGGCTTGTCACCGAGAGCACTGTCTGGAACCCAGTGCACACGGGGTCTTCTCAGAGCACACGCTGGAAGAGTCTGTATTTCTTAGGATTCCCCAACACATCCCCCCAGAGTCACACCTAGGGCTTGGGCTTATCTCTGAAGGCACTTTAGAAGGGTAATGTTTTAGGAACGGGGTTGGAGACCCTGAAACAGGCCAGAGGACTTTGTATAAAAGGAAATATAAAAAGGCGACAAATGCAACCACAAGAACTCCTCCTTGGATTTGATGAAGATGGTTTTAAGGCACCGTGACATGGAAGGGGCTGCCGGGAATGTGCTCCTCCCCCCACTTCACAGCCAGGACGTAATCCCCCCTCTCCTTGACGACGTATGTGACGTTGTACTGTTGGTTGCCCACGTGCTTCATGGAGACCTCTTCGCAGGGCGTGGTGGGCCCGTGGACCCCGATCAGCAACATGTTGGAGCCTAGAGGCAGAAGAAGGTGGTCACTCTATCCGGATGGGCCGGGACAGGCAGAGGAGGGAAGATGGGGGCCAAAGGCAGACAGACAGGTACTGCCCAGTGGGCTTCTCCAATGATACTGGGGCCCCTGCAGAGTTGGGGGAGGGCAGGGATTCTGAGGGGAGATGCAGGGAGCTCTTCAGTCCTGCCACATCCTGCCTGGGGGACCTTGAACGTGGGACTGCCCCTCTCCCTACCCTAGCTTTGGCACCTGTGAATGGGATGATAGGAGTACCTGCCTCGTGAGCGTGCCGTGAGGTTTCAGGAGTTACTACGGCTAAGACCCTAGCACCCGGTAAAGGCTACTGAAATGTTTGTCATTATCTTATCTCTTCTCAGAAGAACCTTTAGGAAGACACTATTATTATTACCTTTTTATTATCTGCCAGAGGATGTGTGTGCTCACCTTAGAGAGGAGACGGCAGAGAGGGAGAGAAGGCACACCCAGTAGAACGTGGCCATGCCACAACCCCCTGTTCCCGTCTCTCTATCTTTTTGGGATCTGGGGCATGCACACGCGAGCCAGGGCAGGATTCGTACCCTGGTTGGTCATGTGGGATCCAGCCCCCTTCACCCACAGGCTGCAGGGCCAGCCCATGTTATTCCCCACAGAGAGAAGAGGAAACTGACTTTTATTTTTGCCAGAGAACAGGTCTGATTGCCAAAGTCAGAGAGACCGAAAAAGAGGGAGAGGGAGAAGTGACCATGAGGGCAGCCTGGAAACTGACTTGAAGAGAACTTAGTAACTTGCCCGAGGTCATGTGGCTATGAAGCTTCATGAATAAGTAAACCAATGAATAAAGTGGTAGAGCTAGGTTCCCGGCCTGGGTGTGCTGGAGACCTGAACCCAGGTAACTGCCTGCTGACTGACACGCAAATAATTCCCAAGTTCAGACTGCGGTTACAGCAGAGTCGGGGCCAGGCTGCTGATACAGCCTGCCCGCAGGAATGGGGATAAAACCAGCTTTCTAATCCCCGGAGGTCATGTGACAGGACCGAGAGGTGACGGTTTCCAAGTATTAAATGCAGGAAAATAGGGTAATAACCGTGGTTCCTTGCCCACAGTTGGGTTACACGGGGTGGGCACTGCAGAAGACCCAGTGTCCCAGCAGGGAAGGCCGAAGCGCACGCCCGCCCGCCCCGGCCCAGCCCGGCCCAGCAGGCCCGCGCTGCCTACCGGCTTTGCTGCAGTCCACCAGGAAGGAGCTCTTCTGGCCCACGAAGGCCTTGGACAGCCCCGCCCCCTTGGAGGTCACCTTGCTGGCGTCCGAGGAGGCCTTGGGGATGGCGCTATAGCAGGTCTCCGTCGAGGACCTGGTCACCGACTCCACCAGGATGGACGAGGTCTCATTGGCTGAGCCAGGGCTGACCAGACGCTGGCCTAAGACATAGCGGGGAAGGGAGCAGCTATGAATGGCCAGGCCAGGGCACAAGTGAGTGCCCCCCACGGAAGCCCCCAGCTGAGCCCTACACCCCAAACACTTGGCTACCCACAGCACCAATTACCACACCACCTGCCGGCCTCCATAATTCCTTCTAGCCCTCTAGGGTCCCACCTCATACCTCTAGGAACTGGTTTTCTGAATAAATGGGTGAATCTAGGCTTGACCTAGAACACCTCCCCCACATAAAGACTTGCCATCTTATCCAATTTCACACCTTTCTATTTACATAACACACTACTTAGAAGATAACAGAACAGATTCTTGGCACGAGTGAGCATGATTTTTCTACCTAAATTTTCTGCATTGGATCTACTACTATTTTTTTTTTTTTTGGGGGGGGGATGTTTTGCTATAGGGTACATGTGCTCACCAGAAAGATAGAAAGCGAGAATTCAGCTCCCAGGGGGGATGGCCATGCTGCGATCCCTTCTCCTCCATTCTCCTCTTGGGATTTTGAGCACGCATGCACACTCACCTTGCATGAGTTTTAAGCTGCCAGGTCTGGGACTTGAACCACAGTCGACCACATGGGGTTCTAGCAACATAACTGCTACACTATCTGCTGGTCCCTGTCCCTATACTACTACGATTAAATAGTGAGTCATGATACTTGGAAGGGATTTATTTACAGTAGAGGTGATTTTTACTGTTTGTTTTTCTCCCCCAGCATTTTATAGAAAACACATTTTAATTAATTGAAGAAAATCTTGGGACCAGCAGTTAGCTTAATGGCTATGTCGCTGGACTCCCATGTAGTTGACCATGGTTCGCATCCCGGATCCGGTGGCTTAAAACTCACGCCGGATGCGTCTACGTGTGTGCTCAAGATCCCGAGAGGAGAATGGAGGAGAAGGGATTGCGGCGTGGCCATCTCCCCTGGGGGGTGATTTCTTGCTTTCTGTCTCTCTGTCTCTGTCTGGTGAGCGTACGTGCCCTATAGCAAAAACCTCTTAAAAAAAAAAGAAAAGAAAATCTTGTAATTTTAAGTGAAGGTTAGAAATAAGGGGAATTTCCAGGCCCTGACCTAAACAAATACATCAGATTTCAAATATGTAAATATTTTTCCTTTTCTGTTAGAAACAGAAAACTACGTAACACGCTTTCTCAGCTTTAACACCTACTCCACACCACGTATTTATTTTTGCAAGGTTTAAACACACACTGCCCCCTGCCACGCTGCAGCATTTTTTTTAAAGAATGATTTAATTCCATTTGTTATTATTTTTTAATTTGACCAGAGAAAGACAGAGAGAGAGAGAGAGAGGGAAAGTGAGAAAGCAAGCTGCCAGATCTAGGACTCACATCACAGTTGGGAACTTAGCGCCTTCACCCACCACGCCACATGCTGGTCCCAACACGCCATTTCTTTAGATTTAAGACTCAAAGTGGATTCAACATGGGGCCAGCCGGTGGCATGGTGGTTAAGACACTGGACTCCCACATGACCAATGACAAATCGAGTCCCGGACCTGGTGAATTGCTTTCTTACTTTCCCTCTTTCTCTCTTTCTCTGGTGAACACATGTCCCCTATGGCAAAGTTTTAATAAATAAATGAATAAGCAAATAAATAACCAATCCATCCAATTTAGATGCAGGTTCACCGTATCTAAACTCCCCCACAGCCCACAGGGAGGCGGAATAGCTGCACGGGTGCTCGGTCGTTACCTGTCACCTTGGCCTTGAAGGGGCTGCCCACAATGTGGTTGGGCCCGCCATACTTGACGCTGATCAGGTAGTTCCCAGGAGCCATGGGCGTGTACATGACTTTGTATCCCTCTGGCGTCTCCTGGCAATCCATTTTCACCTTGGATGGACCTTCGATGGTGACGGACAATGTCCCCGGGCCCGCGCGGGTAGTGTTGATGAAAAATTCAGACTGGATCCCTGGGAGGAGGAAGGAAGCAGGAGGGCTGTACTGACGGTCTGGAGGGGTGGGGTGCAGGGTGGCTGGCTTTCCTGGGGCACCTGCACAGCTGGGGTGGTTAGTCTTGGGTGACCTCGACTAAGGAATTCCTAGAAACCTGGTTGAGTGTGACGGCGAGTGTCTGTGGGGTGTTCCCAGAGGTTAACGGGGGAGGCCGAGTAAACAAGGCGGGAAGGGCCAGCCCAGTGTGGGCGGCACCATGTGGTCAAGCAAGAGCCCGAGAGCGGTTGGACGGAGGTGCTGGTCTCTTCTGACAGAGCCGGGGAACCTGCGGCCTGCTGAGCCGAATTCCAGGCGCTCCTGCCTCTGAGCACCAGGATTCGTTCAGGGCAGCGGACCTCTGGGTCCTCGGGCTTTGGGCCTGGGACTGGGGATCACATGGCCTCTTCTCACTGTTACCAGCGTCCCGGGCCTCCAGCCTGCAGATGTCCTGTTTGGGCGTCTCTGCTGCCCCAGCTGTCAGCTGAGTCCCCCACAAACCCCTGTCCTGGACCGGTACGAGCCTACCGGTTCTGTCTCCCTGGAGACCCCTGACTAATACAGCTCCTCTCACCAGGGGCCTGCTGTGGGAACCTGGGGGCCCAGGCGTGCCGGGCGGAGCTCCTGGCACAGGGCACCGCAGGCACTGGCTCCCTTTCCTGCCGAGGCAGGGGTGTGGCTGACATTTCGTCCACAAGCACCCACTGCCTGGACACCCTGTTCTTGCCTTGGACACAAGGGGTGACTGAGGGCGAGAAGCCTGAGTCGCCATTGTGAGCCTGAAATGCTGCTTCAGCCTCCAGGTCCAGCTCCGACTGGGGGTGGGGAGGCACAACCCGATGACCGTCCCTCTCTCCTCTGGGTGGGCCAGGAGAGCCAAGAGACCCCGCATTGCTTCCCTCCTCCTCAGGACCCCAACCCCAGACACCACGCGGAAGACCAGGGTGGCCGCTGTGACCTGCAGGCCCACCCACATAGCCATGAACATCAGCAACGAGAACGGAACACACAGGAGCTCCTGGATCTGAGCCCCGTGTCACACGCATGTGACGGGGAGTCCTTTCAGGGACTCCTGCTTCACAAGTGACCTGGGGGCTCGGGGAGGTCCGGCCACTTGTCAGTCACACTGCATACCCAGGAAGTGGTAGCACTGGGATCCGAACCAAGTGTGCAAGGCTCTGGGTGCCCACGCCCACCCCTCGGCTGCCAGATGGACAGTCACACGGAGTACAGCCCTGAGACTCCTGCCCTTGTAGCTGGCCCAGGGCGCTGCAGACACCTGCCAGGAGATGGGAGAGAGGCCAGGTGTGCCAAAGCCCACTATGGAGCCATTCCTGCCCGAGCCTCTGCTCCAGAGAAGCCCCCACTCCAGGCCCAAGGGGATTGAAGGGATCGGGGGGCCTCTGAGGTGTCCAGGCATCAGCTGTGTGCCTGTGCTCTGCCCTCTGTGGGGTGTCCCTGGCATGGCCTTCCCAAGCAGGGCTGCACATTTGGCCAGAGCCCTAGAGGCCACCCCAGCTGGGAGATATTTTGGTTTAATTATAGCTCTCAGGACAGAGAAAGTATTATTGTTCCAGTTATCAATAAAACAAAGGAGCAGCCGTCATGTGACCCTCAAATATAACACAGCTGTCTCTGGACGTTCCAGGGACTCCTGTCCCAAAGTCCCCCAACTATCTCCACCTGGTCACGACATCTAATCTGTGCAGCCCCTTCAGCTGCCAGGGGGGCTGGGGGCTTTGTGGGGAGGAAGCGGAAGTACGCGACGAGGGGACACGTGTTCGGGAAACAGCTCTAAGGAGACTGTCAGGCAACAATAGCAAGAGATTTTTGAAGTGAAGTTGCAAAGACCTGGTTGCCAGAAACCCCACTCTTTTCCCCTTTTTTTGAGAAAAAGGTGTGTGTGCTCACCAGAGAGACAAAGTGAGAACTCACCACCTGGGGGAGATAGCTATGCTGCAATCCCTTCTCCTCCATTCTCTCCTCAGGATTTCTGGGCACACACCCGTGCCCAGCGTGATTTTCAAGCCACCAGGTCTGGGACTCAAACCGTGATCGCCCATGTGGGAGTCCAGCATCTTAACCATCACGCCACCTGCTGGCCCCAAGGAGCCCCACCTTTTCTAACGAGCTGCAGCCTTCCTGAGAAAAACCAGATCATCCTGTGAGGACCCTACCTGGCAGGCACGGGGAGGTGGAAAGGGGCCATCCGGAATCACGGGATGGAGCTGCCTGCCTGTTACCTCCTGGAAGGTCCATTTGGGCTCCCTGCTTGGGCCCATTTTATAGGAAAGGGAGTGGAGGCTCAGTGAGGTCAGACAGTGCCTCAGAGGCACTTAGCTGGGAGCAGCAGGTCTGGGTCTGAAACCTAAGGTCTGTCCCACATGGCACTGAGGCACCCGCCTGAGAGAAGACAGGAGGAAAAGCCACGTGCAGAAATCTGTCACCGAGCCGCCTCCATAACCAACAGACTCCGAAATAACTAGGCTGGGCCGGCCCCGTGGCCTCATGGGTAAAGAGCTAGATCCCACATAGCTGATAATGCACTTCCAACCCCAGCACTGGCAGCCTGGAAAACAATCCGTGTGAGTGCCCCAAATCCTGACAGGACGGAGGAACAGGAGGGGCTGTGGTCTGATCATGTCCCACTGCGGGGCGAGGGCTGTCCTCTCCCTCCCTATTTCTCTTTGGCAGGTGCATGTGCCTCTGGTCATTTTCTTTTCTTTTCTTTTCTTTTTTTTTTTGAAGAGAAATTTTTGCTATAGGGTGCATGCACTCACCAGAGAGAGACAGAAAACAACAGAGAGACAGAAAATGAGAAATCACCCCCCAGGCGGGATGGCCATGCCACAATCCCTTCTCCTCCATTTTCCTCTCAGGATTTTGGGCATGCATGCATACGCGCACGGTGAGTTTTAAGCTGCCAGGTCCGGGATTTGAACCACAGTCGACTACATGGAAGTCCAGCGACGTAATCATTACACCATCTGCTGGTCCCATGCCCTCTGGTTAAATATATATATATGGGCAGGGTGGTCTCCCCCCAGACACCATGTACACCCAGCTGACTTCTCGACTTCAGTGCATGTTGAACACAGCCTGTCTCCACCTTTAAGGTGGAAGAGGGTGTAGGGATGAGGCTGTCCGGTGAGCCTTGTGTAGATCCGGTTGCTGGATCGTTTCATCAGGAAAAGTGCTCGGCCGCTCTGGTTCTAACTCCCAGCCTCTCACCTGCCCCTCTAGCAGAGAGCTCAGCCTCAAATTCTTCACATTCCCCTGCTCCAAAATCTGCAGAATGGACCATTCATACCCCAAGCCAAGAGACACAGCAAGCTCACCCACAAAACCCCAGGGGAGTTGGCTTTGTTTAGAAGGTACAGACACCTTTTCATTCCATTCACACTGCAGCTGTGTAACCTCAGGATGGGTATTTGGGAAAAGGCTAGGGAGCCGGAGCACTAGAAAAACAAGCCGCCTGCCCTGGACGAGAGCATATTTACACAGCGTTTGAAACAGGCTCCCTCTGTGCCTCTCCCCGCCTGGCGGGGTGCCTCCCTGCAAGACCAGCTCCTTTTCTCAGCAGGGTTCAGCGCTTGCAGAGCGCAGCCTGAAACCCGAGCTCCCGAGAAGGTGTGCGAACCGCCAAGAGGAAGTGGGAGAGGATCCAGGCACAGCTGGCGTGAGCCAGCAGGAGGACGGGCTGGATTCTGGCCAGCTTAGGAGAGCCCAGCGGCCACTGAGGGCCTGGCCCCAGGCCTGTCATGGGCTCCCAGTACCAGGAGGGCCCGACCTGCACCCTGGACAGTGGGTGGCTTGCCAGGGGCTAAATGACTGCACTGGAGCCTGGAAACCATTGCAGGGTGGCAGGAGGACAGAATGCCCCCTCCCCCCCAAGCAGGCTCGGGGGACAGTTAGTGCCTCTAGGGGAGGCAGCAGAACTCGGGGCTAGGGCACAGGCTCTGAGGTCACAGCCCTAGCCACCTCCTGCTTCTGCCCTGGCCAAGCTGAGCAAGTCGGAGGAGAGCCTCAACCTCTCTCCCGTTCCTCATCTGTAAAATGGACACTGTGTCAGGCAAAACGAAATGTGCCTGTCAGAAAAAGGACGCTGCTGGCCCGGAGACTCGTGTGCAGCCAGCCTGGATCCTCTGGGGAGTCTGGCAGCACTCAGACCACCCCTGCTGAGGCCACTGTTTGGCTAGAGCCCCGGGCAGCAGGCCAGCCCGTCAGCCACTCCTGCACCTGGGCAGGGCCCAGCCACTGTGGACACTCGCCCGGCCCCCAGGGCTGGATGCCAAGCAACTACGACCACTTGTCCCTGGCCCGTGGGGAAGGTATCTGCTCCACCCCACTCACTAGGTGGGGGAGGGATGGTGAGCCGGGGTACACACTCCAGGGACTCAAGAACCCCAGATGGGCTGCCTTCCTAAAAACCCAAAATAAGACCACGTGTAAACCTCATTCCAGTGAGTCCACACGGGAAACCTTCTCCACAGAGAAGCCTGAGGACACCCCCTGCAACACCCCAACTGGACAACACCAATGGCCATCTCTAGGGCCCTCTTAAATAACTCGCAGTTCACGGTAAGAATACAAACTGCAGTCCCATTGCAGGGCAGTGTCGGGGGAGGCAGGGGGAGTGCAGGTCTTTGCCATAGGGCACGTATGTTTGCTGGAGAGAGACAGAGACTGTGAGAGGGAGAGTGAGAAATCCCCTCTCCCCCCCAGGGGAGATGGCCACGCCACAGTCCCTTCTGCATTTTCCTCCTGGGATTTTGGGCACGCACTCACATGCACATAGCATGATTTTCCAGCTGCCAGTCCCAGAACTCAGACAGTGTTTGGCCACATGGGAGTCTAGCACCTTAACCATCACACCATCTGCTGGCCTGAGATGGGTATTTTTTGACATGGAAAGATCTTTTCCACCTCATGGTCAGAAAAACAAGCTGAGGGGCCAGTTGATGGTGCAGTGGCAACGTGATGTCCTGCCATGCTGTCCATGGGAAGGTCCTGGGTTCAAGGCTCCCTGCCCGGGATCTGGGCTGGCTGAGGCTGGGAGTGCAGGTCTCTGTCTCACGGGAGACATAAATAAACTTTAAAAAGGCTGTGCTACAGTACATGTAGCATGTGACTTCCGAAAAATAAAAGCAAAACTACGCACAGACCTAACAGTGCAACTAGCTAACCAACCCGG